AAGGAAAGATGCTCAGGGGATGAAGATTAGACACTAAACCCAAAGGATAGAACCAAGAAACACAGTAGGGGTGACAAATAAGGAATAATGTGAGCAGCAGATCTTTCTCTCTGACAAAATAGATATATGAAATCGAGGGTTTCCTGTTTTCTAACATATAAACAAAGGAATAAGGACAGATAATATCTTGAATCTGTGCTGAGTTCATGGAGTAGAATAAATCGTACAATAACTTCATTTTTGTCTGTATCTAAGACTATAGAGGATGCTATAACGGGCGTCTCCTTATTCACCACAAGAGGATGTAGAATGTTAAGTGGTATTCATAACCCCTTTTATGCATAAGGGAGTATAAGCCTATACAGTGCATACATTCCCCTATTGACATAAAGACATGTCCTATAAAGGAGTCTTACACCACCATAGAGTTATGAGGTTCTTCTGAAAAATGAGAAGAAGTGAATAAATACATGATCATTTTGGCAGTGATATGGTTTCTATATGAGTTTTAAGTGTAATGCTATATGAGCATATAGACGATAATAGAAGAATTCCCTCCCTTAATAATAAGTGAAATAGTTTTATGAATCTATTGTGTGTTATTCCCCGTAATTAATTAAGCCAAATTTTCGAAAGTATTGGTGAGTTGTTGTGGGAATCATCTGAATAAACAGCGAACTCTTTATGTTTCGATAAATTATCATAATATACATTTACCCCCCAGGTGGCAGAAGAATAACTGTTTAAATAGCTGGATACAGAATGTTGTGGCTTATATGATATTTTCTTTGCTATATAGAATATCATGAGGGATGATATAGAAGATGATGCCGTGAACTACGAAAGAATAAATAAGCAGAGGGATATAACAGAGCAAAGGCGCAGCATATAATGGTTAGAAATGTACTGATAGAACATAATGTATCTTATAGGGAAGCCAGAAATCCAAACCAAGAGGACGAAGGAAAGAAACGAAGGAAACAAGAAATATGGCCTTTGCGCCATAATAGAATAGATGAGGGCATATGCGCCGTTGAGTAGGGACGACTAGTATAAGCCAGGAGGAGGGCTAACAACAGAAGGCGAAACAAGTAAAAGAGCGTGCCAAGGGAGACGAACGAAAGACGTATCAACACTGAAGCGGGTTTACTAAGGCATATAAAAAAAGAAAAAGTATCAGAATCAACATCCTAAGAAGATATTTAGGATAGTAGATAAACAGCAATTATTCGGGGACGAAACCCCAAGGAGACGAACCAACAGCAAGCACCCGACAGGGGCAAAACTAAAACCAAGAGCGGAGGAGTAAACCTCAAATTTTAACACAGGTATGCCTCTACAGGAATAAACCATATGAGAAATATAAAATCCTATATTATGACATAAAACCCCCCTAAAGCAAAAAAAACCGGGCAGTGCTAGGCAAGGGACAACAAACCCAGTGGTCGGAGGAGAATTAGTCCTAAAAAACCAGCGGTGCCAAAAAATAGAAGTATCCTTGCATAAGAGGATTCAATCCGGGAAAAGTACAATACCCTGATTAACGTTATCTATTATTAGAGAGGTGAACACCATACCAAGGCACCAAAGGAATACCAATACAAGTACTCTAAGAATAATACTAGCATCTATAAAGAGAGCAAGGGAAGTGAAAGGAAAAACAAAGATTGTGGAAGGGGAAAGAGTGAGTATATAGAACAAAGGAGGTTAACCAGAATCACCTAAGAAATATATGGAATACTTATAGAATACAGGGTTAATAAGGGGGCGAAACTGACAATAACGAAGAAACAATTAAGAACCCAAACAGGAAAAAAAGAACCAATGACAGTTCTAGGATGATATAGAAATATATGTAAATAGCGAGGAGCTAATAAATGAAGGCCAGAAACTGCGTCTTGACCCAAGATACCGTCCCCCCCAACATATAATATAAGGGAACAGGGGGCAATAATAAAGGCCACAGCAGCTGAAAGGAAGCTGCAGATACCCCCTCCACAAGAAATAAGACAGGTTAGAGAGAGAGGGGGGGTGAGCAAAAGCAACCAGACGATAACCAGCAGAGTGAAAGGAGCAATAAATAATAGAAATATTATTGAAAAGAACCACTCCATGACAAGGTGTACACAAACCCCACATCCGAGTAAGAATGAGCCTAACGGCGTACCAAGCAGCCGGGAGAGAATGCTAGATAGAGTAAAGGAGCCTGCGACGTAGTAAATTAGGATTAAGGACACCACCAATAATGGTGACTGGGACAATAAGACTAAGCCTAACAGGCAGAGTGATTAAAAAGGGAAGATACCAGTATGAAAGAGACGAATGAAGTATAAAGAGGAGGAAATAATAAGAGGCAGGAGCAGCCGCAATGAGTCCAAGCTGGTGAAGCCAAATTATTAAGAGGAAGGGAATTATAAGAATAAGAAGTATTATATCAAACAAATCAGGGAAATTATTGCATGAAAGGAACAAGCAAGTCTACAGGGACGAGCCCGGAAATTGCCTAACACATCAAGGGATCCACACTGGGCAGGGACAATAGAGCACAAGCCAGGACAACCGCTAAAATCCTGGGGCGGGGCGAAAGTGCCAAGGTTACCTAAAGCGCAAGGGATTACCGAACATCATGGCAGGAAGGGGCTAATAGGGACAGTGGGGGGACCGACAAGAACAATCTGCAGATTCAAGAGGGATGAGTTGTTTGAACAGGACCGAGCTGCAAAAGGTAAAGAAGGTAGTTAAAAACAGGAGACTGCGTGAAGAGCAAAGAGTTTGAACTGCATAGCAGGTCCTGTGCCCACGGCAGGACTCGAGTAAAAACAGGAGAACAGTCCCTGGCTACCCACAGAGAAAGAAGAATGTGCCGGAAAGATCCTGACAGCCTGGAAGACACTCGAAGCGACAAATGGATCGACTGAGCCGTGTTTGACCGCCATACACACGTGGAGGGGAGGAACAAATGAGAGAAGCAGCAGGGGGCAAACAACGAAGTAACCGGAGTGGGAGAGGAACGGCAGAGGCAGAGACAGGAGGAGAAGGGCCATTCCAGTATGAAAAACAGGAACCCGAAGCGGTCCGAGGATGGGAGAGAATCTAAAACCAGGAAGGATGCGAAACAACCAAAATGCAATGATCAAAAATCTCTAAGCATATGTGCGAAGCAGAATAATAGTAAAGGAGTAAAGAAAGTGACAAAGAGAAATAACGAAGAAGCGGAGTGGTACTGACGGAGGGTGTCCAGTGAGAAATCTCTGAATTAGTGAAACGACAACGGACAACCCATAAACCAGGTATAGGACAAACACAGAAGGACGCCTATAAGCCAGTGGATCAATGCAGAAGTATAGAAGGCAGACGCAGTACGGGGACCGTAACGGCGATTTGAGTGCAGGAGAGTGGAATCTTTATAAACCTCTCTAGAGCCGTGACGATGGTCCCGCCTAAGAGGGACATGCAAGATTAAACCTCCCAGGCTAAGTGCCAACGGATAACACCCAGGCCTAGGTCATAACCAAGAATAAAAATCGTCCTAACAGTAAAGGGGGGAGACGAAGACAGGAAATAGCAGGATCAAGACGAAAAGCCCTAGGGTGCACTAGCCACCGTAGTCAAATCCGGAATGGAGCTTGACATCTTCTCAGAATGGCGTCTGGTGCGGTAGTGCGCCACACCCCGCCTCTGAAAAAGATAATGAGGGGTCAGGGATTGGATAAGCACGGCAAATTTCGCAAACACAGAAAAAGAGAGAAATTCCCCGAATACATGAAGAGTGCAAAGCAAACTCTAGTCCGGGTGAGAAACTGCGGAGAAAAAACCCTCACAACACCTGAACGGAAAAATTCAGAAAGGAGAAGATACCCCGGAGATAATAACCCCCAACGCGTTTCACAGCACGGAGAAAACCCTAGAAACCAACTAACAGGGGTGATCAAATATGATAGTCAAAGTAAAGAACCCAAACCGGAGAAATCCCAAGAGGGAATAGGCAGTCTATGTATCGGAAGGATACTGAGGGATAGGGAGTGCTTGAAAACTAGAGGCAAGATATAAGGGGAAGGAACTTCTGAATAATGACAAACAAGAGCCAAGGGTACAAAAAGGAACCCCGAGAGGGGGGCCCAAATCGCAATTTAGGGCGGCCAGACGAAGCCAGAGAAAGGAAAAGGCAGGGGATTCATCTCCCTTCCTCAGGAAACTGACCAGCCTGAGGGGGCCAAAAGTAGTTGATATAGGGTGCTAACGCGAACTTCTTGGCAGGAAAAGTAGGCAGATCTAATAATGCAGGTACCATGATCAGATAAGTCTAATGAAACAGAACTTAAAATGGAACAACAGGAGACGATCAGGACGCCCCCACGGAAGGATCCGAAAGTACTAGTAGGGGAACAGCTCGTTACAACAGAGGAGCTGAGGCTAATATAGGAGTAAAGTGCCATCACCAAAAATCGGAGTACATCCACGTAAGAGTCATCGTATAATTTCCCCCCTTAGCTCTATCGACCGAACGAGTTAGTCTCCCTAAGAGAACAAATCCTCAGATAGGGAGGGTCAAATACCAGGAGCCTGGGAAAGAGGAAATATTCTATGTAAGATAGTTTAATAACTCTGAAAGGAAACCCCTCGTACATAGAGTACGTATTTAAAATAACTAAGACAAGGGAAATATTGGAAACCCGAGTCAGAGGACACAGTAGCTCTAATTAAACCTCAGACAACCTCGTATGAAAGGGAAACCTTGGTCTATGACAAGGAATCAGTGTTGGACAACCAAGTAAGCGGCGGGTAGCAATAATGTTTATAAATAAAGCACAGTAGGAAAAATAATAGCGACCACAAAGTGAAGGAAAGACGGAATAGCATCCAAAGGATTAACACAGAAACCAGGGAAGCAGGAGGTACACCCCGTTTAACTTTATACAAATAGTGGAAGACTCAGGAGAAGTAATATGCTTAAGTATCTGAAGCTCGATCCAAAAGGGCTGTGAAAGAAAAATCTTCCTTTCTGGCGGGAAGTAGGATCCCCCCAGAATATTAATCATACACGGCAGGAAATGATTACAACCAGAAAATCCAATAACAAATCTCTGGGAACAGCAACTAGCAAGGAAATGTCAGTGAACCTCGCAGCTCCAGGTGAAATTGAATAGGGTGGAAAAGGGCAGAAGGGTTACCACGAAGGCACAAACGGGAAGGGGAAACATGGGGAACTCGCAAGGGGCCCCCGCCAGGGAAGAAAATAAGGAAATCGGGAAAATATCCATAAACTGATAAGAGTAACAGAAGAAACAAGCAACCGAGAAATGGGAGGTAACTGACGACAAGAGGACTAGAGGGGTTAGAGGAGCCAGAAAGCCGTATATTCCCAGTGATAGCCAATGATAGAAATGGATAAATAAGCCCGAGGAAGGGTGAGGCGAAGTATTAAGAAACGACATGGAAATAGAGCGAGATGCACTCCCCGAACCCACGAGTATTTAATGAAGATTAAATTGAAGCAAATTTAATACTGGGAAAAATCCCGGGAAACAGCACCCACTAGAGAATTCAAACTAATATAGACTCAAATCCGGAGGAAACCGAAGTAAAAAAGCGCAATGGCCGGAGAAAGAGAGGAGGAGTACTGGACCACACCTGATGAGTGGGAATATCAGAGGAGTTAGTTCCTATAAAATAGACATCCTAACTAACCTTAAAAAATGAAGTCCTTAATTCCCCCCAACAACCCAACAGGGAAAAGGAGAACTATCAACAAGGAAACCGACCTGCAAAGAATACCATCTGTAGACGACAGAGTAAGAGAAATATGGCCAAGAGAGCAATATCAGCAGACGCCTATGAATACCCCATCCACCTCATCAGCGAGGTCAAGAGTAAGTCAAGGCCCTAGAAGGGAGGATTCTAGCTCTCGACAAACGTCGCATCCCTATAAGCAGAGAGATATAGTATAGATATGGAGGGAAACAAGTGCCGAGCACTCTGGCGTAATCAACTACACGGCCGGTTCCAGAGTGAAGAGGGAGGAACACAGGAAGGAACCCGGCGGGAGCACCAAAATTTCGTGTACTGTCTATGATGAACTCTATGGAAGTAAAGAAAAACGGGAGAATCGGGAGGGACCAAGTGGAGAACAGCAACAGGGGTTGATTCTATAGAAGTCTTATCAGAGGAATAGGTTGATTCCGCTAAAGTAAGTAAACCTCTATCAGAGTGAGGACAAATCCATTGATACACTCAATAGAGATAAATTCATAAAACCCCATTCTGACGGAAAATCTGAGTCCCTCCCTGCAACGAATGGCGTCTGAGTGATACCCCACTTAAGGGAGTAGTTTATCACTAGTCTGAAGAACACTGGTCAGATGACAATGTTTACGAGAACCAGGAGCAATTAGCTCTAAATGGATGATATAGGACGGCTAAGAGCAAAACTGAACAGTACTAATATTAAAAAAAAAAGAGTAGGAGTTGAGATAGGATAGCCTAGAGTAATCTAATCAGGGGAAGACGTTAGGACCAGGAACAAAGCATCCACCATTTGTCCTAGCGCCTATAATTTAAAAGCAGAGGTAAAGGAATTGGCGGGAAAACTCGTGAGAAGGAACAGAAGGTAAAATAAAGAGAGGGAAGTTTAGGAACAATACCAAAACAAAGTGGGCAAAGCTTCAAAGCAAATATCAGTACTAGTAAAGGGAAGCCTCGTCCAGTCAATAGTTGGTTAGGATGGGGTACAAGGGGGGGGGGCCCTCATATGGGAGGATCACTTAAAGAAGAGCTGACCATTCCCGCAGGAGATAGATCCCTCAAGAAGAACATTGAATTACTATGAATCATTATTATTATGGCTTCTAATATTAGTCCCCACAGGAATTAAATCAATACACGAAGCAGCTGGTAGATATAGAAGCCAAAGCCTATGGATTATGGGCTTCATAATAACATAGCAGAGGGGCGGAAAGTTATGCTGAGAGCTAGTGAACCTTAGAAGAGGACAATAGGGAGGAAAAACCAAGGATACACCCCAGAGGAGATCAAGGAAGGGGAAAGAGAAATTGGCGGCAGAGAGCAGTAGGCAGCTACACGCCCGCTCAACAAGGGGAAGGGGAAAGAAGGGGATAACAATTCTGAGGGAACCAAGGCGCTAGATCTGAGACTAGATCAGTTAAGATAAGGACATAAGAACAACCCATGTTGAATAATCTGAACGATTCCGAGCACAGGGAGACACGGATGAAGCAAACGAGAACAAATTCAGGAAGCAGGCCGGGATAACTTAGGGAGAAGTTTAAATTCCCAGGGCCAAGGAGGAAGGCAGGACCTCACAACTCCCGTGCCCTAGACGAACACCAGAGTGTAGTAGATAGCAAAGCACAGAGGACAGGCCGGGAAGGAGGCGGGGTTGGAGCAATTAAATAGGAGATAAAGGAGGGCAATTATCAGCCGGGGAACACAAGTACTGGATTAGAGAAGTAAGAGCTGGGATAGGGAGAAAACAGGAAAGTAATTCTCAAGAATCCGGCATGATATAGGATGGGGGGATGATGTACCAAGAGGATTGAAAATAACAAAAGCAATGGATGGATCCAGAACATCATGAGCTATATCCAGAGGATAACCAGGGCCGAAGCCAGGAGGAATCGAGGGGGGGCTCAATCTGGGACAGCGGCTCTTATGAACAGGCGAGAGGGAGAGAAAGTATAACTCCGTAGAGGGGAATCTTAATTGTGGGATACCGGAGAAGCAGCGTGGCCCGAAATGGGTATGGCAGGGAAAAGGGAATGTCTGTAGGGGAGGACGCGTTGGGCTGCCCCTGCTTTATAAAGTCGAGGGAAGGGAGCCCTAAGGGGCCAAGAGGATCGGGGAGGGAAGACGCAGGGAAGGGGGGAAGTTGGAGATATAAGCAAAAATGGGGGGAGACAAGTCCAGATGGAGGGACGGGGGGAGAAATTATGGAGGAGACTAGTGCGGAGTGACTCCAGGGGGGGAAGTCACAGTATCAAAGTTAGTACCAGGATGAGGAGGGCCGTGGGAAATAAAAACAAGTAATAAAATAGAAAGTAATACCCCGCGTCGCATAGTTACCCTGAGGGAGTAACAAAATGCGCTCTACCTTTGCAGGATATATGGGGGAAATAAGGAGCAGGAATGCAGGGAGCAACAAGTGTAAGAGTGAGGGGGGGGAGAAAAAGAGATTGTGTCAGCTTGTAAAATCCTCAGGGGACCAACTTGAAGTGGACCCAACTCAGTATTGGGATAAGGGGGACGATTTAGGAGGGGAATATTCGGGAATAGATCGGTATGCTAAAACCATATGTAAACGTCTGGAGGAGTGGATAAGTACATTCAGTTGGCGACAGGGAACTGAAGGACTTTACTTATTCGAAAAATGCAAGTATGATCCCGTCAAAGGGATAGTTACCACGCAGGGGAAGGATACGGAGTGTAAAATGCAGCCAGGTATTCTACATTGGGATAATCTGGGGGACAGGGGCAAGTTAAATATGAAGCAAGAATATCACGTTGAATATCAAATTTGTATTGATATAGTTAGCACAATAGCACATGTTTTTGGATTAAAGTCCACGGGAAGTAGTGTGAATATGAACCAGGCTAAGCAGGAGAACTACTGCCAGCAGATGTATGACAAGTTAACAAAATGGGGAGGAAAGGACGAGGCCGAAGGGATAATGCAGCAGTGGTTTACTATTCAACCCCAAGAAGCCTCAAGGGGGAAATATTTCAGACTGAGTGGTTATGATCTATTTGAAATGGTGACAACCCTAATTAGCCAAGGCGGACGAACTAATAAGGATCTGATCTGCAGGAAGGAGAACACGGTGAGGGGAGAACTCCAGGAACAAATTATCAGTTACCATACCCAGCAGAGTGAAGATAGCCAGGGAATAACCCCACCACAGGAGGACCATGGAGGGACACCGGAGGTAACAGGTTCAGGAGGAGGCCCACGGCCAAGACTAACAGTGGGTGCAGGCGCTGGAAGCCCGAGTATGCCTTCTCAGCCACAGCAGCACAGTCCCAGCGATAGCATATCGAGGAATGATAACGAGGAGTCATTAACTTCACTCTCTAGCGGGAATTCATCAGATTCCAGTAGGGAGGAAACTGTAGGGGACGACGGAGCTGCGGGTGGCGTAATAGGGAGTACCGTGGGGGGACTCGTAGCGTCAGCACTGGCAGTGGGGGCTCTTTATGGTATATATAGGATTCGATATCAGCGCAGGAAATTGAGAAACTCCCTGCCTAGAAGGGGGGAGAGCACGGGAGTAAAATATGGGAGGTACCAGAGGGATTAGTAGCATTAGCGCTTGGATAAAGGGGGAAACGGAACGGAGGAACGAGCATGGAGAAGACCCGATAAAAGCAGAGCAGCGACAGGCTAAAGGGGGGAGGAAGACACTCGCAGGGGGCAGACTTACGTGATGAATAAGGGAAGCGAAGATTAGCGGCTTACGGCGGAAAGTTGAGGGATCTGGGTGCCGTCCTGGGGGGGCGATACATACTGAGGTGGGAATCTGAGTACTGGCGGCTTCGGAGGGGCCGAGCCGTCTTAGAAATTTTAATTTTTGAGTTTCGTCCGCGATTCTCGCGTTACTGTCTCCGGTTTCCGGTTATCGGGTCTGAGATTCAGATTTCGGTGCCTGAGTAGTGAGGGGGGACGTCTACAATTGGGGGGTGAGGTCTATTGTTCTAGATCTAGTTTCTCAAGAGTATGTTTCAGGGTTTAGGGGGTAGTGGTTAGGGGTTAGCATCCATGGTTTAGAGTTTATGGTTTAAGGCTTAGCTTTAATCCTTACGGGGTAGGGTTTAGGTTTAGGGTTTATGGTTTAGGCTTCAGGTTTCAGGTTTATCGTTTAAAGTTTATGCTTCTGTGTTCGACGTCTATGCTTTCTGGTTTAGTGCTCAGCCGTTACGGGTTATTGCTCAGGAGTTAGGCTTACGATTCAGTTTTTGGGGGGTTTTTCATCGGTTCAGGGTTTAAGGTGAAGCTTCTGCTGTTTAGGTTATAGGGTTTGGGATTTAGCGTTAATGATTTAGGATATTTGAATGCCGGTCCAATATTCGTGTTTTCGGCATTAGGGTTCACGTCTATTCCTTAATGTTGGCGGCTTCGTGTTCAGGGGTTAGATTTCAGGCTCTAGGGTACTTGGTTGAGGGTTCAGGATTCATGTTTCTTGGTTTAGGGTTTAGAATTCAGTGGTTTTAAGTTTCAGGGTTTAGGTCTTCGGCTTCAGGGTTCAGTGCTTACTGTTCTGGGTTTATGTTTTTGTTTTAGCGTTGTGATTCAAGGGTTCAGTTATCAGGATTGAGGGTTTAGCGTCTATTGCTTAGGGTTCGGCCTTCCGGATTGAGGGCTTAGTCTTTAGCATTAAGCTTTTACGTCTCACGGTTTAGTTTTAGGCTTTAGATTTGGGGTTTTACTCCTCCACTTATACTGTTCGGGGTTCATGCTTCTCGGTTCAAGGTTCAGGGATGAATTCTCAGGTTTCTGGGTCTAGGGTTTTGGATTCAGAATTGAGGTTTTAGGCATTAGCCTTCATGTTTTACTGCTTAGGAGGTCAGGATCCATGGTTTAGTCTGCTCGGAGTAGTTCTGGTCCTTTACGGTTCACATTTTATCTTTCAGGATTTATCGGTTAGGGATTAGGGATCTGTGTTCCTGGGTTTGTCGTATAGATGGAGTTCTCATGGTGTAGTGGTCAGGGTGTAGCGGTTCGGCCCTAGATTTCAGGTTTATACCAGGGCTGTAGCTTTCCGCCTTCAGGCTCCTGGTTTTAGGATTTAGGATTCTGCTTCTGAGTCGTATGGCTTAGGGTTGGTGTTTTACTGTCTCAGGTTTTGGATTTCGTCCGCATGGATCAGGGTTCACGTTTTACGGTTGACGGTTACCTTTTAAGAGAATAGCGTCTACGGGTTAGCATCCTGTCCCCACTGTTTAGGGGCTATCATTTGTGGTTTTGGTTTACTTTCTAGAGTTTATGCTCACGTTCCTATGGTTTCGGGGGTAGATTTCAGGGTTGATGGTTTCGCCTTTAGGTGTTGCTTTCAGGTTCCAGGGTGTATGGTTCAGGGTTCATGGTTTCTGATTTAGGGTTCACGCTACTGGGATCTGAGCTTCGCATTTCGGGGGTTCCTCTGAGCTCTATGGGGTACGCCTTTTGATGTATGGTTGAGGTTCTAAGGTGTAGGCGTTAGGGTTTAGTCCCCATGTTTTAGTTGTCGGATGTATGGTTCCTTGCTCAGTTGTAGTGTTGAGATTTTAGGCTTTGGATGTTACCCCTAATTTCTATGGTTGGAGGGATTGGGTTTAAAGGTTTCCGCCTATTGGTTTCTCGTTGAGGTGCTGGTTGTTAGGGGTTCCCTGTTTTTCTCTTAGGCCTGGAGGGCTAGGAATTAGTGTTTACAAAGTATTCTCTATAGTGCTAACGTTTCGGGGGAAGGGATTAGATGTTAGCTGTTGGTAGTCCTCTTTTACCTCTATGTTGTCGGCTTAAGGATTTGGTTCTTAGGGGTCATGTCTTAGGGGTCAGAACACTCGGATTCCGGGCTCAGTTTTACGGTTTCAGGTTCTCTCTTCAAACTCTATAGTCTACTCCATATGGTACACTTCTTAGGATTTCGGCTTCACGGTTTAGGGTGCCACTGTTTGTGACTAGGGATCAGTTTGCTGCTCCCAAACGGCAGGGGTTATGTCTCACTGTTTGGGGCTTCCGCTTCAATCTTACTTGTTAGGGTGGATGTTCTAGTGCTGAGGGTTGATGCTTGAGAATTGTGGGGGGATTAGGGGTTCCGTGTCAGGGTTTACCCTTTAGGGATTAGCAGGCAGCCTTTTGGGTACTATTGCTTAATTGTTATGGTGTTAAGGAGCTTGGGGTTGCTCCTAGATACTAGCTTCCTGTTCCTACGGTGTATTTTGTTGCAGCTACGTTTTATGATTTGCGATTGCCGTTCTATTGTTTACCCCGCTTGGTTTAAATCCTTGTCTTTATCTTCTATGGCGTGGGACTGTTCTACGTTTTGTTGCTTAAGACTTAGTTTTTAGAGCCGTCTTGCTCTCTGTGGGGTGCTCCGATTCAGGCTTCAGGCCCTTGAGGATATTCTTCACTCTTCACCTTCCCCGATTAATCGCTCCGGCGTCAATTCCTGCGTCCTAGGAGCAGTATTTCATGTTTCAGTATCCGTGACTCATCTGTTATGCCCTGCTGCCAGACGTAGGCTCTGAAGGCTCTTCCTTTAGGCTGCCCCCTCTTTTTGTTACGATTCATGGTGTAATGTGGAGGTGCTAGGATTTAGGGCCTAGTCCTATATTTCTGGGCGTACCGTCTCCGTGTACATCGATCTGCTATCCCCTCATTTTGCACTATAGTCGCGTGGCCGTATAGGTTAACTCTGGTGACTCTCCTCTTCACTCTTAAACTGTCTTTGCCGTAGACCATGATTCCTGCCTCTTATCTGTATCTTATACGGGTTCCCGGATATCCTGGGCTTGCGCGTGACTTCAGGGAATTTTTCCTGCCCCTACCAATTCTTGGATTTTCTGCCCACTGCTCTGCTTTATTAACTATTTCTGATTCTTGTCCTTCAATTTTCAAACGTCATCGGTGCCCGGTTTACTCCTCGTTTTTAGCCTGTACTGTATCTTGTTGAAGGTATGTCTCTTAGGCTGCAGAGACACTCCTTATAGCTATTAATAGTTGCATTGCTGTGGCATCACCTACTAGTGTGAGACTTTAGTCTCATTCTCTTCCTTCCTTACTTATTGTTCACTGCTGATACCTCCCCCTCATTATTGGGGGGGGTAACTTCCTTTTCTGTTGTATAGTTTTTTCCCTTTTGGGGGTCTGGATATTTTCTTTAGTTGTACTCTTAAATTTACAGCACGTAACGCTCCCGCCTGGTGATGCCTAGCTTTTCCCTTACGGTTTATCACCTCGTTATCAGATGTTACTTTTCGTTTGTTTGGCCTATGAGGTGCCCCTTGGGGTACCCTATTATTTTCCTCTTTATTACTTGTTGTGCTGTTGTCGATTGCTCTTAAGGCATTCTTTCAGATTTCCCCGCGTTGGGGATGCATTATAGGCGCATGAATATACAATAAGAATAGATATTTATAGACTTTTCTTAGCTCCTTCATAGTCAATGTATTTTAAAGTTTCTAATATTAAGATACATAATACTTAATTCTTAGACTCCCTCTCTTTTGGTACTGAGATACATAGATACGAATAGTAGTCTTAATCAGATATCCGTATATCGCTGGCCGATTTATTCCGATTCTTTCCCTATAGGATATATCTGTAAAAGAGGGGATCCATATAGGCGGCGACATTCTGCCGAATTATAGAGCACATATTCAACGATATTAATGCTAATCCATACTGCCCTAAGAGGCTCCCTTTAGGACTTGTTCCCTTTACTTCAATGTTTATTCTCCTTCGGGATTTCACTACTGAATTCTGCTCCTCCAGCCTCTGTCTATTTATTGGGTACACAATAGGTGCTGCTCCTTAGGACTGTTTGATAGCTCCTATTCAAATTTTATAACAGATTTAGAATGATTCTTATTTATCATTGGTGTCCTTCTTTTGACAAGGAATGGCTATATAGAACTCTGGAGTTCAGGGGATTATAAGGGTGTTGTCTATAATCGTCTTGTTCACCTTCAGGCGAGAGATTTTTTTCGTTACGAATTTCATCCCTGTGTCGGAATCCTTGTCTTTTTATTGAGAATATAGGGATAGGGAATTTTCATTAAATTAACCTCCTTATGTAACTGATGATAATAGAACACGCAAGGATAGATATCATGGTTACTGATCGCTCTTCAGGTAGAAATGTTATATACCTAAACTATTACTGTTTGTATTGTACTTTCTATTATGATGAATAGAGTCTATCACTACTTCATTACCTTTCTAAAATACAGGTGAGGGGATTTGGATAAACACTATTGATCCTGTTATCTCTGTTCTATAAATACAGTTCTCAAGCCGTTTTATAATGGGGGAATATTAATACTGTGGGGCAAATTCATTTGCTTTCCTATGTATTTAGATTTAAATAGTGCGCATCAGTTGTTAGGATGTTCATATCTAATATGGGACTGAGAGGTTTTTCACTTAGACTTACAATATAGGTCGGCTATAATGTCATTGTGTTCAATCCATTGTTCATATCGGAATTAGCAGATTATTGTGTCGTAGTAAATTTAGCTGCTGTCTGAATAAACATCCCTTCCTTATAAAATTATATCTATGACTATGATATATTATACTGTTTAGCCGCATTGGGGAGAC